TAAAAAGAATGTCTAGAATAATAGCAGAGAAAGAAATTCTCAAAGGTCCAAATTATGTAAACTTATCAGAAAACTTAACAAAAGAAGCAATCCATATAGTAGAAATGTTAAGAAATGGTGCTAAAGAGAGTGGTAAAGAGCTGTGGTTGTTAATACAAAACATGAAGAAGGCATTTAATTCAGTATCAATGAGGTTACTTTGTTTGGCATTACAAAGAATTAAGTTGCCAGAAGAAATAGTAAAATTTATAATAGAGCTGTATAATAGAAGAAAAGTTAGTATTATAACAGAATTTGGGACTACAGAGACATTTGTTGCAGGTGATGAAATTAAACAAGAAGAACAATTTCTCTATCGATTTGGTAGATATTTTATGATCTACTTTTAAGAAGAATTTAAGACAAAATGAGTTTAGAATATGAAATTGAAGTATATGAAGTACTAGATCTACAAATAAATAGAGTTAAAAAAAGAAAAACAAGGCAAGCAACAATAGCCTATGCTGATGACACAACCTGAATAACAAAAAGCAAAGAGAAGATGCAAGCAATTATGCAAATTTTACAAAGATTTTTTAAGTTTAATGATATCCAGATCAATAGTACTAAGTCAAAGTTGTTGGCAATTAATCCAAGTATAAGAAATGAAGAAAGATAAATAATAATAAGTTCAGATCAAGTACAGACTGAAGAAAAGTATACATTAACAAGAATGTTAGGAGTATAGTTGAGTATAGAAGCAAATAAAAGATTAATTAAAAAAAAGGTGAAAAATATTATGTAACAATTTATGAGAAGCTTATGATCAAAGAAATTAACTATTAGTCAGCTAATATGTATTAACAATATGTGCATAATACCAAAATTGGTATATATACTGTAAACAGCAAAAGTGTCCAAAAAGTGCATAAATTACTTATATTAGCTAGTAATTAGATTAATTAAAAACAAATTAGATCTGTCAGCAACTGTAGAAAATAGCATAATTGTATATCAAGATTTAGGAAGATGTAGAGTGCTGAGTCAGAAAGTATTTAATAGTTAGCTGGTTTTTCTACAAAGAAGACTAAATAAGTCAAATCAAGTTAATGAGATAACAAGAATATGTATGAAACAAGATTATGCTCTAGCAGAACTGATATCAGAAAAAATAAATACAGCATATGCAAGTAATTTAAGAAAGATATAGAAAAAAAATCTTGTATGTTTGATACTGTTATAACCAAATAAAATAGGTTTAAAGATAAAGGCAGAAGGAGTTCTTTGGCAAGTTTTTGGTACAGATAAAACTGTACAAAGCTTATTGAAGAATAAGTCATTTAAAATAGTTTATAAAAAATTAATACAAAATAGATTATTTTTTGTACAATAGTTAATAGATCAAGAAGATAAAAGAATGATCATATGGAAGAAATTTAAAGCATTATGTACAAGTATACAAAAAGAACAGAAAGCAAAATAGTTTACCGAAATTGAACAAAAGATGTTAAGAGACCAAGTAAATAGAATGGTCTGTCTTGAGTTTCAAATACAAGAGACAAACACTATAGTAATGAAAATTGAAGTCAAGAAGTTATTACAAGATAAAAGAAAATAAGAATAGATATTAGTAAACAAAGAAAACACTGAACCAATAGTAGGCAAAGTAGTCAAAAAAAAAAAAACATACTGATAAATCATTAAAGCCCATCATAAGTTGAAGAAAAAAGTTATTCAGTACTCATAGAATATGATAAATATAATCTGAGTAATAGTAATAGTACAAGCAGGTGTTAATATTAGGTTAAGAAGAATACAATAGTAGAAGTATTACTAGAAGTAAGACAGATGTATGAGCAAAAGTTACCAGTCTTGTTTGAAAAACTAAAAGAATACAATAAGTGTTAGATAAAAAAAGATGACATAAGTAATGAAAAAGTTATAAGTAGAAAAATAATAGTATATAGTCATGAAATTAGTTTATTAAAAATGCAAGGTCTAAATAGCAGTTTAGAAAATATGCTACTAAAGCAATTAGAAAAGAACATTATAGATGAATATATAAAATACAAATTTTATACAGATAGGTCATTAGTAAAAAAAGAAAAAGAGTGTAAAATAGGTACAAGTTGAATACAAGTTAGTGAAGATGAAAAGAAAGTTATAATGAAAAATAAAGTTAGATTAGAGAAATAGCTATTATCAACAAAGTTAGAATTAGCAGCAGTATTAATAATAGTTTTAGTTATAACTAATAACAGTAGATTAGTAATTAAATTAGATAGTTTAGTGACAATTACAAGTCTAGAAAAGAGAAACTTATGTTTAATATTAGAGCATAGAATAAAACCAAAAACTTCAGATTAGTAATGAAGATCAAAGATATATGCAAATTAAAAAATATCGAATTAGTACTAATTAAAATTAAAGCATATAGTGAAGTAGTATAGAATGAAAAAGGTAACAAATTTGTAAAAAAAGGCACATTGTTAGATGAATACTCAGATCTAAAACTTGAAAGAAACTGTCAATTTTCATGTACACTGTACTGGAAAGATTCAGTAATAGAAATACCTATCAGAAAGTTTATAAAGACATTAATGAACATAATAAATAGTGCTAAATAATGGTGCTCAAAGGTGGTTAAAAAACTTGAACCAAATACTAAAGTTTAAAGAGATTAAAAAGCATTGTAGAAGGAAAACAGAAGTTTAACAGAAGTCAAATATAAATCACTAGAGACAAATAAGAAGTTAGCATTTAGAATTAAATATATAAGCAATAGTTTACCAGTTCTTGAGATACTAAAGAAGAGAATACCAGACATATACAAGACAGATAAATATAAAAAATGTTATAAGAAACAAGAAACATCAATACATTTACTTAGATATGAAGAGTATAGTGAATATTGGAACAATATTGAAGAGTTAACATGCTAGTTGGTATGGAAAAAGCTTGATAAAATAGATAAAAGTAATATTACAAAACTTAAATTAAACAAAATACTTGTTAGAAAAACTGTAACAGATAAGATTAAGCATCATGAATTATATATATGTGACTTAGCAATAGAAAATATATTTAAAAAATTATATATGAAGCAAGTATCATGAAAAGATATAAAATATTATATAAAACTATATATTAAGATTGTTGAAGAAATATTTAGAAAAAAAATATGAAGAAGAAGATGCAAGACAGTAATCAAATGAGAAGATGAAAATAGAATAAACTCTAAGATAAAGCAATGCAAGATGAAGAGAGTTAAAGATGAAAACTATAACTCAAAAAAAATCAAAAATAGAAGAGACAATAAGAGAAGTATAACAAATAAAACAAAAGCTGATAAAGATAAAGAGAGAAAAATAGAATATGATCAGTTATTTAATAAAGGAGTAGATGAACTAGTACAGAATAGAACAAATCTGTTCTGGTTCAGTTCTTGACAGAACTAACAAGATCTTCCAGTTTAGGCATAAACTGGTGTGACAAGTTGCATTTGAGTGCAGTTTTTGTACTTGGGTAATGCTAAGCTTGCAATTTCAAAATGTGGATTACTAGAAATAGTTAATGTTTCAAATAATAAAATTTTGTATTTGAGTTCTAACAAGACTGTCAAAAAAAAATAAATAAATAAAAAAACTAACATTATGATGTAGTTTTGGTTTCTTTATTGCTGTACTTTTTTATTATTCAATGAAAATATTGAAAATTAAGTTTTATTAATTAAATTTTCAATATATAAAAGTACAAATAAGTAATACTAATAGTTATAATTAGTGATTTGAACTAAAAAAAATATCCTTAATCAATTAACCGAACTGAATTATTTTATGTCAACCAATTACAACCGGTTGAGATTAATAATCTCTACTTCTTACTCTTATTTATAGATGTAACCCAAGAACGTTCTGTGATAATTAGTATAGTGTTAGTTTCAACTGCTTTTTTCTTATTGCTAAAACCATGTAATACTAATTGACACATGGTTTAGTTTGAGTCTATTACCTCAGAAATTTTCGGAGCTTCACTCAAATTTTTAATTCACCCTTGCTCGTCTCTTATGTTCATTCAGCTTCTTTTCAGAATCTTTGCTCTCTCTTGGTCATTTACATACTTTATCAATCCTACTGGTTACCCAATTCTCGACCGGTTGTACCAGGTCAACCGATTAAGAATTTGCTCAACCAGTTATCCGAAATTTATTCGGTTAACAGATTATAGCCCAACCGGTTCAAATCACGTTGCCTAAAAGTAAATTAATATTATGTTAGAGGGTTATTAAAAATAGTTGAATAAGCTTTTTAAAGACAAGAACTGCGATGTTATATTAATATAAGAAATTTTAAAGTCCAAAGAATATTTAATAAGAAAAAAATCGTTCGAAAGCTTTACTAATAATAAATGCAATTTTTAAATTTTATTGGTTAATTATCACATGTTCGAATGTTTAGCCAATTATAAATCACCATTCAATTTCATGTGATTGACCAATCACTCTATAACGTATACCTTCACTTTTATAAACTATCTACAAGTATTTTTTTTTACTTCGCTATATCAAAGCTGGGTACCCTTGGCGCCGGCGTTAACGTTAAGCAATACTACCAGCCAACTCTACTACAGCAAAATTATCATCTGGGCAGCTTTACAATTTTACAACTGCCCTAGCGTTACCAACTAAAAAATTTCGCTACTAGATTAGCGTTAGATTTTGCTATTAAATTAGGTTAGAAAGAGTTCTTTTAATATCAAAATTTTGTAAGGAAATTTTTCATTAATGAGCAGAAGGTAGTTTCATAGGTAAAATGTTGAGTTATGAATGATTTGATTTTTTGCGTAACGCCTGATCTTGAAATATAATTGGCCAACGAAATTTTTTAGGTTGGTAACACGAGGACAGTTCAATTTTCCCGTCACTATATATTGATACTTTACCCAAAAATAACCATGCAGATTTACGCGTTTCTTGATCTAATTAACATAACAGAAATTATTTTTTAAAAACAAAATTAAAGATGTGTTTGGATTTGAATTTTGAGTACTGGGTCATCACGCCTACACAACAATGGGACGCGCTTGAACATCAGAAAGCATGGTTAGATTGTGGTTACCCAAATAACAAAGGTCTTGCCATAAAAACCCTTAGGGAGCAACTTCTCTGGTATGAAAATAACAGTTTCAACAAAGAAAGAAGTAAAGCTAAAGAAATTTTGGAAGGGCTTCCGGTGAGTTGCTATTTCCTTTAGTTAAAAGGACTTGGTAATCACTAGGATTATAAATGTTATAGGAGTTAGGACTTTTTTGCTTTCTACCTTTATAACCCATTTTTAATACGGAAAGAAGGCCACAGCTCTTTATGCTTATGAAGGACTATTATTCCAGAGGAGGAGTAATTACGTATCTTCCTTCACGTAATTAAAAAAGAATTTTTAAATTCTGCTGTGAATTCGGGTTAACATCTATAAATTTTCTGGGAAGACATATTCTGACCTGGTTCTGAAAGTAATGTTTCTAGTTTTGGGGAGTAATACCCTGACCTGGTTTACTGGGGAGACGTATCCTGACCTGACTCTAGGAATATGATTTTTAGTTCTGGGAAGGTGTATTCTGACTTGGTTTTTTTATAGAGATCAACTTGCCGTATTTATGTGACTGGGAAGGCATATTCTGACCTGGTTCTAAAAGTAATGTTTCTAGTTTTGGGGAGTAATACCCTGACCTGGTTTACTGGGGAGACGTATCCTGACCTGACTCTAGGAATATGATTTTTAGTTCTGGGAAGGTGTATTCTGACTTGGTTTTTTTATAGAGATCAACTTGCCGTATTTATGTGACTGGGAAGGCATATTCTGACCTGGTTCTAAAAGTAATGTTTCTAGTTTTGGGGAGTAATACCCTGACCTGGTTTACTGGGGAGACGTATCCTGACCTGACTCT